ACCTAATCAGTCCTCTATAAAATCCTGCGACTCAAAAGTAATTCCTATATTAAATTCCAATTCTATATTCCAATTTAGGTTAGAATTCGGCTTAATTCGAGGATAATAATTTAAAAAGAATGTAATCCTAATTTTTTCCTCATAAGCAAAGGAGCTCAATCACAGGGGGTTGAGACATGTCAGAGAAAACTGAAGGGAAAAGCGAGAAAAAAGAATTTGTTTTCATCCCTGGTATCTTCTTTAGCCTCATGAATTACCCAAAGATGAGATTCTCTGATAGCTTTGAATGGCGTAAACGCACGAACACGATGGCCCTTAAAATCCGACCTTGCTCCTGGCGTCGCAAGCCTAATTCATGAACTCATGAACCCCGGTCACGTGCCCCCCTCGTTCATAAAATGTGTTTAGTATTTCTATGCTGCTCTTGATGGCCATGCTTTTAAATTTATGGCATTATGCTGCGTGTATGTGTGCGTGTCGCGATATCATTAATAATGGACGATGAACCCTTCAGTGCCGTACAACACCCTCGGTTCTCACGATTTGTGATACAACATCGTTGAAATTGGCGAAATAAGTGCAACAGACCGAAGAACGTTTACTTCCTACATTCGCCATTTTATTTTCAACTTCTACAAAATAAATTTTCTCCTTGATACGAGTCTTAAGACACAAACAAAATTCCTATAGTATAGATTTCTATGCTGTATCAAGTTTAAGACTATTAGATGCGTCGAAAAATAAGAAATAAATGAATTATATGTACAAAGAATTTTTGGAAGCTGAGTACGGATAATGGAACTAGATATAAAAGGTATTTAAATGTAAATGATAGCGATGATCAATGCGATGAGAATAATTAGGTTTGCATTATTTCAAACTCAATAAAAATTAACATTAATTTGGGCAAATGCAGTAGCGGAGATTGCCAGAGCAAGAAGTTGGAACTGGTCATTTTAATTAATTTAGTTTTGGTAGTTCCAGTGTTAATTAGATGCACATGTACCGAGCGAATGTGCGAAGCCAGTTTTCTCAAAAGGGAAGACTTGTATTAGAAAACTGAGTTTGCTCGTTATCTTCTAACTTGGATGATAAATAGGAAGATTAACTCTCAAGAGCGAAGGTAAATTTGATAATTACGTGGACCAGTTTTTATTCCGAGTCCATAGATGTAAATGGAGATCAAACGAGGATTGAGGTGTCGAGTATTTGAGTTAATTGAGTCGTTAATGAATTTCGGTAATGAATTTCGGAGAAGTCAGTTGAGGGTAAAAATGGGTTCGATGTTATCAGTCTCTTCGGCATGTAACTATACAACTTCTTCTCTAATTGAAACCTGGGCTTGGAGGGGTCGAGGTCGACTTCAGATAGCAAACTCGCCTAACCGAATCGGATAAACGCGTATACTCGCGCGAACCAAAGTTAGCGTATTTCGGGTTAACCACCTGACGACGGTGGCCAATTTGGCTAGGGATTTCGATCACAGAATGTTAACTCTTGTAGAGGTCAACTATAGCATAGTCTTCTAGAAACAGGAAGCACCATTGCGAGTCAAGTATACCTCGAGTAGGATCCTCTTGGAAGAATTCTTATTCAATTTTATCCACTTGGAGTAAGACTGAACATAATATTGGAGTAGATTTAGGGTAAAATTCTGTAGTTAATTCTTTTTTCATCAAATAATACAGATTTATACCTAATTATACCAATAGAGAATTCTCTTATTCCATAGTAACTAGTGACAATAAGCGATTAAAAATGATAAATAGAATTTCCTAACCTCAAAATTTTATAATGGAACTACGATAATCATCGTCTTATTATCAAAGAAGTTTGTTAATGAATACTTACTACCAAATGGCGAATCTAATCGAATTAGTATAATTAGTATAGGTATTATATATTAGAATGTATTATATATATAATATATATTAATATATAATATACTAATATATAACTAATATAACTAATAACTAATATATTAATATATACTAATATACTATTATATATTGGTATAGTTAGTGTAATTTTCCGATATTTGTCGCAAATTAATTCCTTTACCCTAACTCCGGTGATTAACTTACGGTGTCACGTTTCTCATAATTAAACAAAATTCCAGTCATAACAGGTTAACAAACGCACATTCCTGGTTCAAATAATTCTCTCCTCGATTAGGCTGGAAAATGTCGCGAGTACGCTTTTCATCGAGCACGCTGTATAAACATGTATCCCGCCCCCGAGTAAAATGGGCGAGCAATGCATGTCGCGCAATACGGAATGCGCAGGTTCGATACGCGGCCGTGTGTTCATTCAGCCACCTCTCGGCTTACGGCGTGGCTGCATCTGCTTTCGCGATAATTCACCGGCGTTTCACGCGGCCACAGAACCGGAACAACACTTTAATTTTCCAATCTGCGGAATATCTTTTCGTTTTAGATCGTAATAGCCGATACCAATAGGCGAATTCTATTACCTGCTTTCTATTTACGTCGCATTTCGTAATATTGATTTTTAAAACATCGAACATTCGGTTATGTAGAGCGTGGCGGGCTATTTGAACGCCAGGAAGGCTAAATTGTCGATTACTTGGAAATTTAAAGATCGAAAGGATTCGAATTGTAGGAAACATCGAGGATTCAAAGATTTGAAATACCAGAGAGGTTAGAAATTTGAAAGTTTGAATATTTATAGATTCTACAGTTATTGCAGACTATTTGGGTATCGTTTCATTTGAAATTCGCAGTGGATAGGAAGTTTGGGTGTTTAAATATTGAAAAATGGAATTTTTGAAATTTCTACATGATTGGAAACTTCCAAACTTGTATGCGAAGCGAAAGTTTAAATATTCGAAAAATTGAATTCTCCAAATTCAATGCTGCTCGATAATTGGGGGTTCAGAAATTAATAATTTGAAAATTTGAACATGTCAAATTTATGCAAGGCTATTGATCCATGATTCTCAATATTTTTAACCAAATTTCACTATTTTTATCCTTATCGTCTTCAAAATATCGATATTCAAGAGTCATACCACTAAACAAAGTATCGCACCAAATCCAAAATCATCCACTTTACCCCACCCAAAGATGTCCAAGCGATGCCGCTAACCCGAACCCCGCTGATTTTGAAATTTCTGGAACTCCGTTACTCAATTCACGCGACTTCCGTCGGGAATCCGAGGGAACCATTCGATCCCCGCTAAACTCATCGATTTTCCCTCACGAAACTCGAGGAACATGCACCGTAAAAATCTCCGTTGGAGGTTCAATTAAAATCGGTGGATCCACCGTTCCAGGAGCGATCCGTCGCGGTTACGACACCGATCCCGAATATTTTTGTTGATGAGCATGCAGCATCGCCCTCGTTTTACGATCCAATAAATTTTATTTGATCTCAACGTAACGGACAAAAGGGGTAACGATCGTATCTCACGCGTTGCGTTCCCAATGCCCGTTCTCGACCGGGTAGCGCGCCGCTCGGTAGAACACTAAAACGGAAATAACGTTTTATTGGTGGACGGCTAAGAGAGGAGGTTTCGTGAAAAAAGGACTATACGGTTTTCTTCGAATTGTGCCAGCCATGGGCTAACGACTCGGCAACGCAACAATATCACCGGCCGTGATTTTATAAACCCGATATAAACCGGATGTTAGGAAGGTCTGAGCGAGGGGGTAGGTGACTGCAGGCAATTCGTGAAGACTGTGATTACGATCGTTGGTCTTCGAGTTGTAATTAGTTTTGTCAACGAGGGTAATTGACACTAGGACTAGGACCGTCTGTAATGTATACCTAAATACAGTGCACGCGATTGATATAAAAGACCATGGTAAAATATCAATACCCAGTAAGTAAAAGTGCCATGACGCTAATATGGCGGCAGTCTATTAGGGGTTAAAATGAAATTAAAAATTTTCCTACAAAATATTCGAAATATGTGTTATATTATATATAAGTCTGTATTTATAGCTACTAAAATTAAAGTCGATCTTATATTAATAGGAAATTAATAAGTTTCATCTCGTCACACAGATTGATAACTCTATGCCTGAATAAGTTTTTAATTGAAAAATGATGAAAAAGATTGGAAAGGTAATTGAAAAAGTAGCGGTTAATGTAACTCCACGCAAACATTGACTTCCAGTAAGAATTTCGAGCTAAGAACGATGCAAAGTGGCATTGTAATTCCGACGATAGGTTCGAGGGGTAAAGCAGTTTTTGCGAGAGCGGAAACCTCTCTTGTGATTGGATTGTTCGTGGCCACACGCGTCGCGTTGCGGTTCTCCGGCGCTGGCACGATCTCTTTCAAAGATATAGGGAACTACGAAGGGGATACAAATAACATCACTTTCCTGTTGGAATTTCTTGCTGTCATATTGTCACGCCATTCGGCTACATAAATCACTACGGCATTCTAAACTGCTTGTTAGATTTCCGGGGAAATAATTATTAAAGGTCGACAACAGGAACGCTGTCGTTCCAAAGTTGTTCATTCCTGTCAGGATGTTAATTTAATTGGGAAATTTGGAAGCAAAATACGATTGTTTTATTAACTTATCACTGCACGACCTAGGGAAATTATTGATTCGTAATTCGTGAATTAAGACAAGGAACTGTAAATTCCAATTTCTCTACGAGATATTCATAAGTATAAGTATCAACAAGATTAAAAGTTTTAATTACAGTTATTTTTTGTTATTAAAATATTCGAATATTATTCCTAACTTTTCAAATAAAATAATAATCTAATACTATCTTCTTCGTGTTCGACTTTTAAACTACACCAAATTTCTTGTTTATTAAATATAGTTTATTTTTATCATTAAACTAATTTATTGTTAAATTTTTTTATACTAAGTATCAGATCGTTGAATTAAATTCTTCGTTAAATATTCGAGCGTTTAACAAACACGAGTGATAAAGGGAATGGTATAACGGGGAAATGCAAGAAGGGTGAGCATCTATGTACGCGTATGTTCATGGCGTGTTTGCTTTGAATGCAGGTATCGGGCAATTTCAACAAAGAACGGAGCCACGGCATCCTGCTGTCTATTGGCCAGGTCTTCAGGGATTAGTCAGTGATCCCCTGGCATGGCGAGCAAGACTACACACACGTGAGTTTCCTTTCCAAGATGTATTTCGCGTACCACCGCGGAAATATACTTCGCTCCGACGTATTAGAACAGAGATTGTTCCTGACGTTTTGCAAACAGGATAGCAAAAAGAATTCCGAATTATCAGAGAATATATCTAGCAATAAGTGAAATACGTCCAGTCCTCTTTATTTTCCCTATCTTCCGTTCGGAAATAAAAATTTTTTAAATAAATTAATACGATATATTTGGAAAACATAAATAACGATGAATGTTAAATATTTACTACCACTTTCTACTATCATCCAACCCTCTATGGTCTCCTATTCAACACAATTGGACAAAAACTTTGCCTACAATTTTTGTATAACTTTTAAAAGGATACCTGCTAGACGGAAAATAAAAATTTATTTTTTCCTTCCATTGAAGATTAAAAAAGCAGACATATTTGTTTCCTCCGAATCTCTTCGACCGCAGTGCAGAATGTGCAATGCAATATCACGAATAAACTAACGAAAAATTTAGAAATAAGTATAGAGGCCCAAAGGGTTAAGAAAACGAAGCTGAGGAATTTCGTGGAATTTAGCAACGCAACAGTTGAATTCTTCGTGACGAATAAATGTCTCGCGCGAGAATATATCATGCGTGGAAGCGCAAGGAAAAAACGATGTTTATCTTCCCATAAGAATCGTCGCTGAAATGATGACTGGAGGAAAGGCAGGAAAAAATGGAGGAAAAAAAATAAAAAAGGAAGGAGAAACGAAGAGGCTGAAGTGAAAAAGATTGAATCCAAAACATCGATCGGCGACTGTGAGAGGGCTCGTGATATTTCTCTGCCCGCGGGATATTTCGTTTCGCCCGATATTAGTCCAGATTTGACAGCTGCTTCTGTTTGCTTTTGCGGCGAGGAGATCGGTTGACCGAAGCGAAGAAACACGTGTCGTCAAGCCACGCTAAATACCGCTTCACGGATCTAAGAAAACAGGTTTTTTAACCGTGAAGAGCGGCAAGAAAAAATATTGAGGACGAACGAATTGACGGTGGCTCCTAGTTTAACTCCTGGAATAACTGGAAGCGTTCTTCCGTTCTACTCTAACGAAATTCAGACGTACGTATTGAAACAGATCCTTTATGGTGCATTTTATTGCGCCATTTTACGTGCTAGGTGTCGCGATTAAAACAAATTATGGCTCCACAACGATAAGAGAATTGGAAATCTCCAAGAAGACGTATTTATCTGCGTTGCGTCATTAAAATTACTGCTATCTATGCAGGATGTAGTTAGGTACACGTTAGAGATTGGCAGTTTTGGTATTAAAACTATGTTTCTGCCTAATTTCAGTTCATTAGTTCACATTCATTCAGTTCTATATTGTATTATATCTAGGCTAACCCAAACATTCTCTAAGTTAACACCCCTAGAAACATAGCAGACACCTAATTCTTCGAGTTTTAATAAAATGCACAGTCTAATCTAGCAAGAAAAGCATCGCCCATGGATTTACAACTTAGAACTCATGTCCATAAACGTAATTACCTATAGATATATGTATTTATTTATCACAGTGCTAAAAATACTACTGTAAAAATACTAAATGCACACTATGCTAGGGTGTGCAAGAAACCTCAGTGTTCCACTCTTAAAATTACATCCCTACCCAATTTCACTTCACTAAACAGTGCTACACTGCACTATATATACTGCACTACACCTGGTCTAACCTAAATTCTATAGATGTATACATTGAACATGTTCATTACCATCAAAATTCCTATCCATGAATCTACAATTTAAAACTTATGTCCATAAATGTAATTGCCTACAGATATATATATTTATTTATCACAGTGCTAAAAATACTACTATCTATGCTCACTATGCTAGGGTGTGCATGAAACCTCAGTAGTTCCACTCTTATAATTACATCCCTACCCAATGTTCATTAACATAGTGTTACACTGCACTACACCTGGCCTAATATTGAACACGTTCATCACCATCACTAATCTCCATATTTAACCCTGGCTGATTGAAAATTAACTAAAACCCCGTAACATTCTCTATACAGCCCACCAGTACGACTCAGCGTCTCCTATCGTTCACTTCAAAACAGTCTGATCTATCACAAACATGATAAGACACGCGATCCTCCGAGCCTAACGCGTCACCAAAGGTATCTGTGGAACACCTTGTGACCCAAGAACCATCAGACACGCGGATCCTCTAACCGAAGCCGGTCACATCCTCTCCACTGGTAGCCAGAGGCCAAAGCGAAAGCGATTTGTGAAAGCGATTAAGGGCGGCGCGGGTAAAAAAAAAGGAGGGGAAAAAATCACAAACAAAGTGAAAGAACACGTGACGTCGGTGGAAAGAGAGAGCATCCCCTTTGGAGAGCATACATCAAGCCCCGCCGGTGGCACATGTGCCGGCCACGCACACCACCCGAATGGAAAACCGGGCTGCGGCACAGCGAGTGTTCGAGAAGAAGACCGAGCCAAGCGAAACCGAGTCGACGGGAAGGAGAAGGCAGAGAGACAGGGGTGGCTGAGGAAGAAGGGTGTCTAGATAGGCTACCGGCTTGTAAGAGTACGCGGGAACGCGTGGATGGGCGTGGACGGGCAAGCGTGTGTTGTTCCAGCGTGTCGTGTCGGCCACGGATGTCACTGCGGGACGAATATAAGAGGGTTAGCGTGGTCCGCCGCGGTATCCGGAATATCATATTCAATATCAACCCTCGCAGTATCCCGGCGAGGCCCCTGCTTTCCGCACTCACGTGAATAACTCCGGCAATATTTTAACTGCGCCGCGTCCGCGCTGGTATCCGCGTTCCTCGTGGCTTTTTCCTATCATCCTCGCCGAACCTCCGGCTCTGCCGTCGTCTCCCTTGCTCTTTCCGCTGACTTGAGTTACGGCTGCAGATATATAATCGGCATCGTGTCGATACCGCGTGCTTTATATTCGGAGCTGTTGGGTCGATCGGCTGCATGGGCCTCGCGAGGCGGACCCGGAACGAGCGTCGCGGGACATGGTTTATGCGATCCACGGGAACGGTTTTATCTTTCTATTAAATACCTGGACCTTCCCAATTGCTAGCCCGGTGGCTGGTGTATAGGGATATTTAGGGTGGATTGGATAGAAGGTGCTGGGTAGGGGTGTTGTTCATTCTGGGAGGTGTGTAAGATCAGAGTGGGGTGGTTTGCGATGAACGTGGAGCTGTATGGTGTTTTGGGGGATTGAGGAGGATGTATGTAATATTTTTTCCAGTTTTTAATTTAATTTTTTGGTGATTGGAAATTTGATATGCGAAGGGAGTGGTTAAGAACAGACTAAAGTGTAACAACCGTGGAGGGGGTGGTTCTACGCCAAAAAATAAATCGAAAATAAAGAATAAAATTTTTTTATTCGATGCTTCGTTGTCAAGAAAATCGACTTTGAATATTCACTGCGTACGCTGATATACCGGTGGCTCCTCCCACCTTAACTAAAATTAAGTGCACGCGTTCTCGGTGAATATTCAAAGTTGATTTTCTCCATAACGAAGCTTCAAATGAAAAAATGTTATTCTTCATTTTCGATTTGCTTTTTCACGTAGAATCACCCCATACCCAATTGTATTACCGTTGCCGGGACACCCTGTATATACTATACATGCATGTAGATGCGGAACGAGAAAATGTTCGAAGGAGAGCTGGAAATATCGAGTAAAATTCGAGGTAGGGTAATTAAGAAGGGCTGAGGGAGATGTTGCACGGACGAGAAGTAAGGCAGTACGCGGTCAGACGCGTTCACGCGCGCGGCACATGGGCCGAAGGGGATGATGCGAAGGGAGGTGGTTGAAAAGGGACAGA